AAAAAAATATTTATGGTCATCCCTCGAAACGACCACCAAGGTCAGTACGATAAAATGGCGTCAACTGGAGCGATAATGAGTACTTTTCCCTCCCCCACACACATCCGTATCGTCTCAGGGGGTGACCACAGTGTTCTGCCTTAAATTGTGGCGTTTTTCTAAGAAATGGGTGCTATGTACTGTGCGAAAGCAATCGATTTTACAAGAATAAAATTTTGGACAACCCTCTTCTAAGAATGCCATTTGAGTGTGTCAGTGTGGCCAGCTCGGGGCAATATCATATTATAAACACATCACATCACGTCTCTCCTGTTTATAACTTCGTAGCAAAGAATAAACGACATTCATAGCGATGAAACCGCTAGCAAGAGCCACAGGAACTTTGCTGCAAGACAGGCATATGTAACGACGACTTAGCGCAGATAAAGACGTGTCATATTATACTCTGTACTACTGACAACAGGCCAGCGAAAAATCTAACAATCTACAGCAAAACCATCAATTATTATGGGCTTTATAACATAGGTGTGCAGCTGGACGAAACATACACGCCGAACCCCCCCAGACGATTTAAATCCCTGACGAAACATACACGACGAACCACGGCAACGGGTTAAAGTCCCTCCCAGAGGACTTGCTCCCTGAATTTTTCTGCCCTTAAAAATTCCACGACCTCCGCCGGGTTTGAACCCGTGTACTACGAGTCATGAGGTGGGAACATTACCTCTAGACTACGGAGGCCGCTAAAACTCAGTTAACTTGATCAAATAAAAAATTCTGCTAAATTGTGGTATAAAGAGTAACAATCTGCACTTTTTCAGAATACTTTTGTGGAAGATATTCTCAATCCATTTTCCCCTATTAAAGTGTGGTCCAATTTTTTTTAACTAGTCCATCAATGAAACATAAACTAGTACTTCATCTGTTTCAAGATACCACACATTCCAATTCCCCATGGAGAAGAAACAAGGGATGGTGCACCCTGGCTTTAATTTCTTCACATCATTGCCTTTTTCTTTTTAAGTGCTTCTTCAGTAATGCCTAAACCATTCAATTTCAGTATAACCCCTGATGTACTGCACAACTATATTCTGAGTTTCTAATCCCTTGCGAATATAGAGAGCACTGGTAGCTCAATTACATCAAATCCAAATTGACTGAGAATCAAAATCCATGAGGAAAGGGAGATGGTGCTTCCCTTCTATTCTCACCTTACTTCCTTTGAGTATGTGGTACCAAACTGAAGTGCCGCCAAAATCCACATGGAAATCTGTGTAGCATCCCTTAACAGACATGAGACAGTATTTCTGAACTTTAGGGTACATCATTTCATCAAGGACATTGGTAGATTCAGTCTGTGCATCTTTCAGATGTCTTGGCCACACAACATCAACCCAATCAATCTGTCGTACCTAACATGAGAAAAATAATATGAATATCAATAATTTCAAGCCTGAAATATAATATTCCTGATCTGTTCAATGGACCACCTCTGTCGTTTAGTGGTCAGAGTTCCTGGCTACAGATCCAGAGGTCTGGGTTCGATTCCCGGAACTACAAGATTTTCTGAGTAGTAGTGGGTCTGGAATGGGGTCCATCCAGCCTCTTGAAGATAACTGAGGAGCTATTTCAAGGAAATAGTGGTTCCAGTCTAGAAAATCGAAATGGCCATGGGGATTCATTGCACTGACCACGCAACACCCTCTATCCGCTAAAGTTGGCACTAACTTCGCCAACAAGCGGTGGTCACTCAGTCGGTATAGTATGCTTGCGGACTGAAACCATGGAGTTTGTTTATGTTTGATCTGTTCAATGCCTGAAAAATATATATCTGAAATCTACAAACAAGTGATGCAATGAACATTTTCCTAACTTGTTTCAAATTATGCCAATATTTTCATATATAGCCATTTCACTATATATTTCAATTTAATTTTTACAGTGTATAAAAACAAGATGCCAGATTAAATCAAGACTAACCAAAACATACAACAAAGGTGGACACAGTAACAAACATGAAGTTATCACACATCACTTTAAACTAATATATACTAACCACATTTGGAGTCTGAACATAATTTTCAAGTTTTGTATGAGAGAATTCAAGGGAGATGACATTGAGCAGCTTATCTTTGTTCGGATCATCATAGTATCGCTGCCATTCCTTCATTGACATTTCTACATTTTTCTGTGTATTCACATCCATCACGTCCAGCACCCGCCGTGAGCCTGTAATTGACATAAATAATTAACAGGCGACAAAATATAAATACCTGCTAAAACTCCATTGGTGGAAATTACATAAAAATACTCACCAACACACATCCGAACATCATTAACAGAAAAATTTGGACTGGGGACTCGCAACCCAAGACCAGCTTTATCACGAAACAGTAATGGAGTGTTAAATCCATGTCTCTGCAGGTAAGCCAAGTTGAAATCTGGAGGGGGGAAAAAAAAGATAAAAATATATTCCAAAGATAAAGATTCCACTCAGATAATATCAATGATACATAACAAAGACACCTGTTTGGCAGATCAATTTTGTTGCTCCAAACAATTCTGAATTTTGAACAGTTACAATGCTTGTTTTTGCATTCTTGATATTGGGCTTTAACTATTACACCTGTGAAACATCAAGGGATGAAATGCAAAACATTTTACTTACTGGACAATGACAATACCTAAATTGCAGTTTTTACTACAAAACATTCAGACAGCCTATATTATGAATGTCATTTGTTTAAAAGGAAGAATAAATAAATAACAATCTGTAGAACTCATTTTACATAATGTGAATTCATATCACATGAACCATTTATCAGTTTTTCCTGAGTTAAAAAGACTCTGAAGACAATATAACAACGAAAATGTATTTCAACCAATCTGATGTGGGGGGGGGGCCTTGCATACCATCAACATACCTGATCCTACCATCTCCTTAACAAAACACTGCGGAAAACGATCACTTTCCATCTTGTCATCCAACCGGAATGAACGCCGACCCTCAATTTCCTCATCTCCAAGCGCCCAGTCATCTGTGTAGTGTTTCCGCTCTTTGCGATCTCGCTGTAAAGGGAATATGCAAATTACTCAATGAACATGAGAAAAGTTAAGGACTGCTCATTTTTTTCAGCATGCAAGCACGCATATGAACACCTCACACAGTAATGGATAATAACATTGCCTACTTCTATCACATTAACTTCAATTACAGACTGTTATGAATTTAGGGTTCATAACTGTTAAAATCATATTAAATTAAGAATGTTTTAATTTCAGATGCCACAACAAAACATGCAATGTTTTCGGTACAACAGGAGACGACAGCTACTCTTGCAGTTAACAAAATAATATATTCACTGTTATCAAAATAATGTTTGTGTCAGAAACTCAACTGCTGCATTTTTTTAAGGATTTGAAAATTGTGGTTCTACCCCAATGATGGAGGCAGTAGGTTTATCCAAAATGTTGGTAATCAGTTATGAGTGTCATAACCCAATACACTGTGACATGTACAAACGTTGCCAAGCAACACTGTGTAAGCATGTGACAGCACAACAGCCTCTGCTAGAGAACAGCTCTGTGGACACATTTCTCTGGCAACGAGAGAACATGCAATAATACGTCTTCTGTGTGATCCATGCCGGGGTCATATAATGAGGACTAGTAGTTCACTTGTCATTGAGTCAACTGAAAGCTGCAATTGTAAGGGTAAGGGCACATCAAGGAAACTGGCAAATGCAATGCAACCACAATTTCCAAGAACTGTTATCAGCCTAAGCTGAACACGATACTGAATGGAGCAGTGTGAACTGAGGAAACTGTGTTGCCGTGTACAGTATCTAAGCAACAGACAAACCTAAAAAAATGATTTAAAAATGTGTGCATGCATTACGCACTGCCATCAAACCAAATGTGAAATATAAACTCCATTTGGCTGTCATGCTGCATCTTTGCAATTGGGGGGGGGGCTATTATCACACAAAATTTCAAGATCATACATTAAGTGGTACTCCTTCCCTCTCAATTTGGCTGCTCTGCTGGTAATACTGATCACAGAAAATTAAAAAGTCTCTGATCTCCAGCAGTACATAAAATTTCACAAATCATGCAACTAACTGTTGTTATGGGGGCAGACACATGGCTAAAAACTATATCAAGATAGCTAATAAAAATGTAATTTAAAAACTCAAAACTGGAAAAATGTTTCACAACAAGACTACAGAAATTTCTTGAACAATGAACCAAACTCAGAAGACCTGAGTTACTGAGGGGCACACTTCAGAGATACTCAGTAATACACAACAAATAATTACAATCTCAAGCTCATTGTTCAAAGATTATTTCAACTGCAAACATGTAAAACAAATTCAGATTCTAATAAATTACAATACATCATATGCAAATGTACATTTGAATTCTGAATCTGTGTTTCGAAAACAAGTAGCATGCATCTTGCTCAGTTAATCAATGAAAGTAATCTAAGAATTCAGTTCAAATAATAATCAAGCCTGCTTTTTACTAAAAATACAGGAAACTTATTGCACATAGTTGCAGAAGGCTGTCACGTCTACATATACTCAAAATTTAGTCATGTCATTCAATTCCTGATGACAGAAAACTGAACCTGCCATTTGCTAGTTTCAAATAACCAATCAAATCCTAGGACTATAGACAGGCTTTCCCATACAAGGTAATATTCATGGCAGTAATGATTGTTAATTGTAGTTATGTCATGAAGTTTGATCTGACTGTGGCCACAGTGATTGCAGATGACAATGAGGGCATATCCAACAAAGAAAGGAATGACAAAACGAGAAATGGGCAAGAAAAAAACTGATGAAACATAAAGCAAAATGTGTCATATGAATAAGAATGGAAACATCCTACATAGAATAGAGACTGGCTCCCCTTGAATTGGCTGAATGCAGTGTTTCAGGAATATAACCCTAACATTAAACATGACTTCATTTTGAAATAAATGATTTAAGTAACAAAGAGGTTCAAGATGTGTACTTGTTTGGACTGTGAATGTACCTGTAAAGTATTACCAAAGACGAAAATCTTGGGAAAAAAGTAGCCTAAATGTGTTTAAAGTGTCACTAAAAACCAAATGTTCCTCATGTGCTTCCAAGCATAACACTCCTAAGTCAAACACCCTACAAAACTTACAACCTTCAAAACATCCTCCAAAACTCCATCACAAAACCTGACAGAAATTAAGGCACTCCTACATCTAATTGCACAACATTTGAGGACTTATACAGATCATACCTATGAGTCTCATTCTATTCTCACAATAAGAAGAGGGAATATTTTGCTGGCGTTCCCTTTCCCAACATCTGCGTATTTCAGAACAAGATGTAAATTATCACCTAAGTATATCTAGTTTTCCCCTTGTACCAATTACACACTGTTAAAACCCCTGCATGTTTCAGTCACACATTATCTTCNTTCTTTTTTATATTTTAATACAAGGATATGGATTCTGTCATCCCCAGTCTGACTCCCATAAAGCATGCCACAAACAGGAGGTGAAGATGAACACCTCAACAATGAACTACAACTAAAAAGAGAAAGATCCTCATTTCAAAGAACTGCTCTTAGACAAGCTCAAGGAAGCCGTGCAAAAACATGAAAGTAGAATGTATTTTCTTTCACTTCCAAAAAATCAACCCCTCCTATGCCTGCCAGTTGCAGATATTATTTTTGAAAGATAGAGTTGTCCCTGCGCTTAGTAATTAAGCACCATGCCATGAAGACGTATGGGAGAGTGGATGTGTAGAACTGCGTTTTCTTGACCTCATCACTAGTTGGAGGTGAGTGGCCAGCTTCACACCTCAACCTCTTTACCCCATGGAAAGACCCTTGGCACCCACTGGATAGACGGTTGGGTGGGCCCCAGAGCTGGTCTGGACAACACTGAGAAGTGAAAATTTTTGCCCCTTGAATTCTGACCCATTGGTTGTCCAGCCCATAGCCAGTTGCTATACCCATTGTGATATCCTGACTCATTCAGATATTATAGTCAATAAATGTGGTTTATAATATCTCCTGTTTGCCATCTAGGGGGGAAAATTATTCCATGAGCTATGTATGAGGAAAGTAGGGAAGCCAAGAGTGGATTAATGAGACAGTCACATGCTGGGTACATTTTGTACATAATCTTTGATGCTGGAAAAAATTAGGCTTCTACTCTATGGGGTCTACATGCATAACTGCAAAGTCATCATAAAGCATATCTTCTCTACCATAGGGCAGTTATCTCACGTGTGAAAGGGTTTTCACTCTAACCAAACAAGTAATGGATACAAGCAGAAAGAAAACTTTAGTATGTATGCGCAATGAAGTCAGCAAAACAATACAATCTGGAAGCCTACATTGTTGCTCTTACTGATGAGAGTGATTTATGAATTGTGCCATTGAGATGGTCTCAGATAGCATGACATACAGTGGAAACTCGCTTAACGAGCATAATTCGTTCCAGAATCCTACTCATAATGCAAAACAATTTTTCCAATATAAATTAATGTAAAATATGATAATGCGCTCCGCTCTTTACAAAAACAGAAGATCGCATTAAGTGGAGGAACTGTTTTGGAAGAGATTGTGGACCTGTCGTCTGACAGATTACTGATGAATGAATGAATGAATGAATGATAATGCATTCCATGCCGAAAATAATACTCAAAAAATTTTATGTATAACGTTTATTCAAAGAAAATTATATATACATTGTTAAGGAGCGTGAATCATCTTAATCTTTTCTTCTATGCGGAATGAACCAGCCTGGAATGCAAATTCGATTTGCAGAAAACAAATAAAAAAAAAAATTGAAATAATTAGTTTATTATATATGATGCATATCTAATTCTTTTTACTAGAAAGCTGTCTAGAGACATTTGTTTTTGCCGACGCTTCAAAATTTGGTGAAAATGCGACACAGCATTATCATTAAATAAATTTGTAGCACGCATAGCCATTGCCTTATTAGGGTGATGCTTCTCAATGTACGATGCAACAGTTTCCCATGCTTTCAGCATTTCTCTTATTGCACCAGAAGGTTGCTGCTTTGCTGTTATCTCCTCCTCCTCCCCTCCTCCTCTGACAAACTCTCCTCCACAACTTCTTGCTGTGAAACACAATGCAACTCCATTAGCTCTTTGGTGGTCATCAGCTCTTGGCTGTGCTCTTCCACAAGCTCATCGATATCATTGTTATCCACCTCCAGCCCCATGATCTTGGCCAAAGAGACAATTTCATTGACTACAGGCTCCAAAGGTACTATCTCAAACCCCTCAAAGTCACATTCGACAACGCTCTCCGGCCAAAGCTTCTTCCAAGCAGAAGTGAGGGTTCTCTTGGTAACCCCTTCCCACACCTTTTCGATCATCCTGAGGCAGGCCACAATGTGGAAGTGATATTTCCAAAACTCTTAGAGTGAGACTGGTCCCTTCAGTCACCTCAAAACAACGCTCGAAGAGTGCTTTAGTGTACAGCTTCTTAAAGTTAGAAATAACCTGCTGGTCCACAAGCTGGAGTAACGGAGTGGTGTTGGGAGGCAGAAACTGGATCTTGATTAATTTAAATTCTTCAGGGAGGTCATCTTGTATGTGTGGAGGATGGGCAGGAGCATTGTCCATAACAAGCAAGACATGGAGTGGCAGATTCATCTCAAGCAAAATATTTTTTCACAGAAGGACCAAACACTTCATTGATCCAATCAGTAAAAAGGTCACGTGTCACCCAAGCCTTGTTGTTGGACTTCCACATCACATTTGGCCTGCTCTTCTGGACTTCACACTTCTTGAAGACTCATGGAGTTTCTGAATGGTAAACAAGCAGCATTTTAATTTTCAAGTGGCCGCTTGCATTGGCACAAAATAGCAGCACGAGACGGTCTTTCATTGGCTTATGGCCAGGCAATGCATTATCCTCTGCTGTTATATAGGTTCACTTCGCCATCTTTTTCCAGAAGAGACCCATCTCATCACAATTAAAAACCTGTTGCGGCAGGTAACCCTCAGAATCTACGAGCTTCTTGAAGTCGCCGATGAAGCTCTGCTGCCTTTGGGTCGGAGCTTGCTGCTTCACCATGCCTTACAACGCTGCGGATGCCAGTTCTTCTCTTAAACTTCTTGAACCATCCACGGCTTCCCTTAAATGCTTCTTCGGCCGTTGATGATCCTGGTGTCTTCTTAACGAGGTCGGCAAAAATCACTTTCGCCTTCTCACAAATTATGTTCTCGTTAATAGTGTCGCCTTGCAATTGCTTTTCGGTTATCCATGTGAGGAGCAACCTTTCAACATCGTCGAGAATACGTAACTGCTGCGTAGATATTCCTGTCACTCCCTTTGAACCATCTTCCTCCTTAATCTTGTCCTTGTTCTTGAGGATACTGCAAATCGTTGAAGTAGACTGATTGTATGTGCATGCTAGATCAGCCACGCTCACACCTTGTTCTCGCTTTTGAATGATTTTACGTTTCATATCTATGGTTATTTCTATTCTCTTATGGCTGTCTTTTTGCGGCTTTTTCTTCGGGGACATTTTTGCAAGGGTTATTAAACTTTGCACAAAAAAAATCACAAATAATATGTCTGAAGATAAGTTTGGAAAAATGTGTGATCACAAGCAACACTAAGATGCTAGTGGAACGAGTGCTAAACACAGACTGATGTAGCAAGCATACAATCCGGGACTTTCCCCTCTTGTCACTCGTTATGCAAAACGTCGCTCGCTAAGCGAGTCATTTTTTTACAATGTTCTGCTCGTTACGCGAATTACTCGTTAAGAGACGTGCTCGTTAAGTGATGTTCCATTGTATATAAATTCCATGATGATTGGTTTCAGCATTTAGGTAACATTAAGGTTATTACAATGACAATCTGAGAAGCTGCAGCGCTGGTATTAGTAATGGGAAGAATTTTTAATGTTTGCCAGTCAGATGATCTCAAGATGGCATGACACATACATACCAAGTTTCACAACAATCAGTACATCAATTCAAGTAATATTATGTGTATTACCTCAACAGTTTAAGAGGCTGTAACATTGGTACTACTAAAGAGAGGAATTTATGATGTATACCGTTCAGATTGCTTCATGTGGCATACTATACTTACCAAGTCTCACAAAGACTGGTATAGGTGTTCAAGCAATATTAACATTCTGCCTCAGTAATATGAATGGTTGCAATGTTGTCATTAATCATTGAAAACATTTATGAAGTATGCCATTGTGATGGGCTCTGGTGCCATGATATACGAACTAAATTTCATAAAGAGTAGTGCAGGTGTGTGCAGGCAATATTGTTTTCATTATGGAAATTTGAAAGGCTGTAATGTTGGCATTAATGATAGGAGGATTTATGAATTACACCACTGAAATGGACTCTGGTACCATGATACATGTACAAGTTCCAAGACAATCAGTTCAGGCATTTATGTAACATTACAGTTAGTACCACAAAAATTTGAGGCTATGAAGTTGGTAATACACATCAAAAGGATTTATAAAATATGCTGCTGAGATGGCTTCATATGGCACAGTATATTTACCAAGTTCCATAAAGATTGGTACCGATGCAGAAGCAGTTTTAAGATCGTCTCCAAAATTTGAGAAGCTGTAATGTTGGTATTACTTATGGGGGGGTTTATGAATTATGGCACTGAGATGGGTTTACGTGCCATGATATACATACCAAGTTTCCTAAAGACTGGTTCAGGCATTCAAAAGTTGTTAGGGGGTGATACACATACAGACACACAGGCAGCAAGCTGATCTCATAAGCCTACTTTCATTTTTTTTTTCAAAATAAGTGAGCTAAAAACATGAGGAGAAACTATCAAGTAATTGCCTACATTTATTTGCTAAAAGTGGCCAGACCTCGGTATCCTTACAAACTTCTCTAACTAGACCCCCAATCTGTAAAGGATAAACAAGGCAAGGGGATTTATCCCAACATTTAAAAATTCTAATCAACAGAAAGTACAGTGAGCTTATCTTTGACCCTGAAACAAATTACTCAGCCAATCCAGTGGAAAACAGGCAAGTTCCGTGCATCAACTAATTTAATGTGGTTAGGCCTTCACTGCACTTTACACGCTCATAACAGGCCAATAAATTAGAAATAAACCCACCCATATCATAGTACATTCTGTAAATGGTCTGTTGTTACATATGCATTCTTTCACCTCTCTAAAATGTTCACATTCATTCATACTTAAGTTCCTTTTTGGAAACAGAGAATTCTTGAAACCTTAAACTTTAAACCTCTCTCCTATAACAAAGCTATGAGCAATTTTCAAACCTGGCAACAACCAACTTCATCCACCTTCTCTCCAGAGAGCACTTAGCATTCAGATCCACTGTGTACTAACGTCATCTTGAAAGACATGGCTGGCCACTGTCCATATGGCAGGACCATGTCTCTTGAGACACTCTGTCATTCATTCCAGATTATGCTAATATTCTGTCTTGTCACAAACAAGTAACAGCCTTGTGCTCTCTGAAATTACTTTCATTTACACCACAGATCTAAAAATATCGTAATATATCAAAAGAAAAAACTTACTGCCATTTCCAGCATCTAATGTGATGTGGTTATCTTTCATTCGTATGTCAGTCATGGGGCTGTTGACTGTGCGGTGACAAATAATTTGGGGCAGAACTCAAATAACCCCCCTGATAACAATTTAAAAAACCAACTCCATGGCATAGTGTCAGGATACTATTTGCTACATACCTATTCATGAAATATGCTCCCTTTTATGGAACCAAGGGAGCATTACAGTAATATAATAGTCTATTATTTTTTGTTGTGGTAACAAAGTCATGTCGACAGAAGCAAACAAACTGTACAGAGTGGCAAAAAGTAGTGTAAACTTACACATTAAAATATTCAGGTAATACGTTTTATACCCACACTATATACATTCCTATAGTTGGCAGTGCGATAAATCTATGAAATATCCAATGAATATTAACATTTAAAGACTCTGGTTACTAGCGAAAACAAAAAATTCTCACAACCATCTTGTGACAATTATACACCTGACATCACTCCTAGGAAAATAATATACCGAGGATATATGGAAGGTGGATCTAGCAATATTTTATTAGCTGTTAACTGATATTCTTCTTCTTGATGCAAAATGCCATGATCTGGTTTTATATGACAGTGAGCTGTACAACAGGCCCAATATCAACGAACAAAAAAAAAAACTAAAGCTCAAGAGGAGCATTTTACTTTCGTAAAACTGACCATGAACACGAAATACAAGTCCGAAACATACAAACAACATATTTCAAATAACTACTACTACACAAGTACGAACTCCTTCCCAAACTTGTTGCCCGGGTTGAATTACGGGGCGGTTCTAAACGTCACCCTGGTTCAATTGAAGGCCCGTTCTGCGCACGAATATAATCAATAACAAGGCCATAAGCAAGCGCGGAGAAAAATCGGTACTTCAAATAATAACACTTCCCGAAGGTACAACGTTCTTCGCATTAATCATGGCGCGGGAATTAATATCATACGATAAACAATATTTCTGACATACGCCTGTACTTAACACGGATCTTCGCGCCTTCTCCTACAAGAGGTACGCGCTGTTTTTCAATGGCGTCACTTAGGACGACATTCACGTCATAATTAAACTGCGAAAGGTCTTGAAATACATAACCTTACACTTAATTTCTCGTACGTAACACTTTTAAACATTGGAAAGAATCACTTTCATCATTCGAAATTGGCTTACGTACCGGACGAATAATATATTCACGCTGTGTTTCGGAGCGCCCTACATCACACTTCCTACCTGTGGACGCCATTTTGACCAACTGAAACCGCGTGTCTCGTCCGCTCGGAAGAACCTTGGTACAGTCACAAACGAAATTATGCTACACAAAACAAAAGAGCACTTATGAAAACTTCTTTCTTCAACATTGTACCTGTAATATATCATTGGAATAAATTGTATTACCAGAACAAAATCTGGAACATATAATATCTCCACAAGCTCTAAAATCCACTTAAATAATTTAAATATACCCATACAAAATCACAAAAATGCTGTAACTCCTTGCAGCTGAAATGATTGTAGTTGCATGTGAATCCATAACGGTTATAGAAAAAAACGTATATATCACGTGTTGAACTACCTCAAAGTCTGTGTACATTGCAAATTATAGCTTCTTATACAGTCTGGGCTTTACAAAAACAAGCCAACGTGTCCTACCACTTGTAACACGGTGTTACTTTTATGTTGCAAGGGTAAACACTTTCTGCCTACTTATACCGTGTAATGCACAATATTGCGATAATTCTTCCATCACATCTTTTATCATAATGGTAGAATGGCAAAAACAGAGTTAAATCCTAACATATTTACAAACTGGGTTCACAGTGCATTATGACTAATCAAATAAGATGAATGTATCACAAAGTGGAGAAATTATACTACCAAATTGCACTATCATATTAAGGCTTAAAAACTGAAATGCGTGGGTAATAACAGTAATTACTTCGTACTTAAAAACCGCCGTAGGAAAGACATTTGAACATTCTGTTAATGAGAGTGCAAAAATTAAAACATCGAACAGTAGCTATGAAAATCTCGGATATTCAAGACATAACGTAAGTAAACATGTAACAAATAATGATAATGTAAATGGAAATAACTTAACTACTTGAATTACAACTAATATACTACACTATACATGAAAACATGTGCATCAACAATGTACATCAGCTGATGGCAGGTTACACACCTGCTACTGTTTACATTCCAACACCTGTAATTTAACAAATCTTGACCCACTTCTTTTGAAGTAATTGGACAAGCTTGCATTCAGTGGTCGCACCTGAATATTCTGTTATTTGGCACTAATATTTATAGTACTTATGGCATTATGCTGACAGAGCATCTAAAATTGACAATCACCATTGTTGCGATTCCGTACAAAGTTCTCGGTATACACCGTGAGTTCGTGACAGACACAATGCCCATGATGGCGACTGCAAATATATCGGCGAAATCCATGAACAGAACTGCAACAATAGTAATAATATATATAAATACGTAAATTGATTGTCTTACAAGTTGTCTCGTTAACACTCGCTTTCCCACGATGCTGTCCCCCATGGTACATACTCCGATCGTTCGAACTCTTGCGAAATATTTTGCTTTCTAACTGCCAAAACACCGTCTGCACCTCACAATTCGCTCACCTCGACTTGCTTCGACTCACGTAGATAGGATACAGAAACGTCATACAAGATTACCAAATCTGTAAGAATAGCTTTTTTGAAATCTCTATTTACGGTACAACATTCTCTAGTAATATATGTTGGCAGCATTGAGACGGTCCTACAGCACCTCCAAGCGGAGAAAACTGTAATTCATATCATATCTCGCCATCTAGTAAGAGAATGTTGAATTATTTTCCATCTATGACAAATTTGGATTATAGATGGCGAAGATGATTCGCAGGCACCTAAAATATATTTATACAATAAAAAATATATATACACACTTATTCCAATCGCGGGGTGACCGCTATGATAGAATAACTACAAGTATCATGTTTCTGGACATTATCCATCGCCCTGTCTATATTTAAAAACCGTCCTATTTATGTTTAAAAACACGTTTCGGAGACTGGGTTCTGTCTCCGTCCTCAGGTAAAACCTACTCAGTTGGTCCCAATACTTAGAGCTAGTCCAGATCTCCGTCCTCAGGTAAGACCTACTCAGTTGGGCCCAATAGATAGAGGTAGTCCCTTTTGGGCCCAGCCTCTCTCGGGATGACTGCCGCAGAACTGACGATATCTCAGAAAACACTTTCAAAGTGGTAATAGTGAGTTTAAAGTGACGGAAGTGGTTGAGAAATTACTGCCCTTCAGAGTAGCAGAAGTACAAAACTCACAGACCTGATGAAAAAAATTAGGCAAAACCATGGTAAAATTATGACTTGAGCATTCAGATCGTGTTAGTGTGGTGAGTAGCACTGACCCGTAAATGTCTGGTGGAAGAGGTGGCCTGGTGTTTTTAATAAAGAACAAAATGGAACCTCAAGAAGGGTGTCCTTGCATTGTTCACCAGAAACACTTCTGAACAAAATTCCTTGATTTCGAACATGTAATGACTGCTATATATCAGCAATACATTTAATAAAATCGAATGGCTTGAATCACGATTAATTCAAACAGTGTTTGGCAAATATGAGAGTATTGTGAAACAGAATACTTATCTGGTGTTCTCTAGACTACTAGTAAAGCAGACGTACTGATGAAAATGTGGGTTTTCATTTTTAATGACCACCAAGAATGAACCAAATCTTGAACTTCAAGGAAGAGAAGAATACAACGGCAATATTTGCTCATTTGTGTAGAAGTGTCAAAGTTAAAACTATGATTGTTACAAATGAAAGCTGTAATATGCTAATTTTTCTGACGTTACAGAATCATGGGGTTTCTGAAATGCAATGTGCCAACTACGCAAACAAAATGACAGATCTACTAGAAGAGTTCTAGAAGAGGTCTGGAAATGTCTACATACATTGTAGAATAATATAAAATATACCTCTCTATTCGGCACCGAAGTTATCAGTGTTCCAGAAAAATTATGTAATTAAAAATTGGAATTCAGTGAAATAATGACTTGAAAAAACATACTCAATGATGTTGATAATGCAATAGGATTTTAGAAACTGTATTTTCGAAAAGGCTATTCTGAAGTTATTTCACATGCTAGCAACATGTGCTTACTATCAGTTACTCACGCGAAATGATCTTTGAGGAAATAAACATTACCGAATGAAAATGCCGGTCTCCTGTAAGTGATAGCTATTTCCATAATGCTCTTCGTATGACAGGATTATTTATGGTGGGTAGCAAACATAGGCACATTATTTTCATAGGTTGCATCCTGTTGTGTCTCACAGACAATGTATAATATGTAGGAACTATGCTACCGTCAAAACAACAAACATTTCAGTATTATATCAGATCTTTACTACTGCAACATTTTTCGGTCATACATGACCATCATCAGGAAGGAATACGTATAGTTATTGAAATACCGATACGGGTCCTTATCGGTGCAACGCGTCGTATTGAATATTAATATAAGAACTTTGCCTCAGATTGGTGTAAATTAAAATAGTAAATACATGATTAAAAATAAAAAGATAGAAATAAATAAGGGTATACTATGTATAAAAATGTTGAAATATTATTAAAAATATTAAAGGTATATTAGCAGTATATGAAGTACATTAAAATGTACTAAAAAGTATATGTAGGTGGGTTAGGGGTCCGTATGCCCACTAAAATATTTTATAAGGATAATTTTTTAATTCGCTTAGTGGGGGGGTTATTGATGGGAAAGCCAGAAGGAATGGAAGCCACAGGAAAGACCAAGGCGTAGGTGGGTGGAAAATATTAGAATGGATCTTAGAGAGATAGGATGGGATGGTATGAACTGGATAGATCTGGCTCAGAATAGGGACCAGTGGAGGGCTCTTGTGAACACGGTAATGAACCTTCGGGTTCCATAAAATGCTGGGAAATTTTTGTGTAGCTGCAGTATTTGCGGCTCCTCCAGAAGAGCTCAGCTCCATGAGTAAGTAAGTAAGTTATTGGGGGGTGGAGTCCAATTAGGTCCACTCGGCACGACGGCCACTAATAGGCCTATTGTAGCCTGTCCCGGGCGATTATGATGATGGAGAATTTGGTGGAATGAATATTGGCAGGGGAAACCGAAGTACTCGGAGAAAACCCGCCCCAGCGCTACTTTGTCCACCACAAATCCCACTTGACCAGACCCGGATCGAATCCGGCCCGCCGCGGTGGGAAGTCAGCGACTAACAGCTTGAGCTATGGCGCGGCCACTTTTAAGGTGTGTAGGTGTGTAGGTTGCGTAGATCTTGTTGCCGAAATTCTACGTATTAAGCTCGGTATGTGAAGCCCAAAGACACGTTTTTCAGTGATATACAAGTTTTGTGGTATGTGGGTATTTGGTATGGTATTCCCACGCTATGTGTCATATAGATGAAACGTGCAAGGCGTATGTTTCTTGTCTGGGCGTATATACTTTCGGTATGTACGGTGTGTTCTACACTGTGCGGTGGTTCGACGTGTAGCTCCTCAATTATCCTCACGAAGCTAAGTGGACCCCGTTCCAGACCTACTACTTCTCAGAAAATCTGGTAGTGCTGGGATTCGAACCCGGACCTCTGTATCTGTAGCCAGGAACTCTGACCACTAGACCACAGAGGCGGTCGCAGTCCCCCAACTCATCAGGATTTTAGGTACGGTACATGTTACAATCCCTTCTTCATTTCATTTTATTTTGTTAATTGACAGGAAATGACTCGAATAAAAATGATTTAAGATTTACAGGACCAATGACAGTTTTCATTACAGTGAACTGAGCATTACTAGGAAAGTTTTGTCTGCTTTTAACCCGGACGCGGGAGTAGAGAAGGGAAATTCTGGTCCTATGGGATGGCAGTTGCCGACTATGTATTTTCCCATTTGTTCATTTTATTGGAAGCTTCTCCTTCAACCATTTCAAGATCCTATTACACCACTTCTACTCTGCAGAAGTTAATATTTAATCGTTTTCTCTGTCGGATGTGTTGCTTTTACCGATAACATGTGCATAAGCTCGGGAATCACTGAGTGAATTTCACTGTCACTCAGAGGCGAAAACAAAAAACTTGGGTAAGGGAAGGAGCAAAGGCACGCGGTAGCGTAGTTTGTTGAGGCACTACGCTACAAGCCGGAAGGTCTAGGGTTCGAGTCTCGATGAGATGAATTTTTTCAGTTGACCTAATCCTTCCAGCCGCAATATGGTCCTGGGGTCGACTCAGCCTATAACGGATATGAGCATCAGGAATCTTACTGTTTATGTGGGGGGGGGGGGGGGAGGGG